TCAGTCTAAATGGAGTTATTCTCTATATCAGCCGTTTCTAAACTAGCCCTGAAATCTTGTAGCCATCAGGTTTTCTTACAAAATTCAGAATTGTAATACTTTCTACCATTTACTATGGCCTGGTTGAGTTCTATTAGAAGTGTTGTTTTTATATCCTTTATCTACATATAAATAACATGTTAAAATGTTTTATAGACTGTAGCTTATTGACTTTATTCTTCAATGCGGAAGTGTGCTCGTTTTTTTGCGATTGTTTTAGAACTTCCGATTAAGCTGCCTATGAGAGAAATGACTAAGGATAATAAACGGCAGAAAACGGTCAAACTACTTGATTATACATGATCATACAGACAAAGTAGAATCATATAATAAGAAAATATCAGTTTGCAACATCAAGCTGCAAAAAAAGCTGTTTCTAAAAAAGAATGATAGTCAATGAGACCGAAAGTCTCGAGCTAAAATGATTTAAATGGCTGCACTCGCTCATATGCAGCAAATAAGGTGAATAGTACCACACCAGAGGTGCCCAAACTGGTGGGCCGGTGTCCTGCAAAGTTTAGTTCCATCACCAATCAGACACACCTGGGCTAGCTAATCAAGTTCTTACAAGGCTTTCTAGAAACATCCGTGAAGGTGTTTTGAGGCAAGTTGGAGCTAAAATCTGCAAAACATCGACTTGACATGACGAGATTGGGCACCCTTGATCTACACTGTTATAATGCACTGTTATAATCCATACAATTTTGTTATTTTGTCCCAACACAAATTGATAAAGTTAGCTTAATTGTTTTTACAAATTTAAGTGGATTGAATATAAAACAATTAAGTTATCTGCCAAAAAACTCAAGAATCCCTTTTTCATTCAGTTAATTTCATATAAGTAGTTAGAAAAATCTTTTTCGAGTGTATTTGTAAACGTTTAACTGTAAGTTTCTGTTTAATGACAACGCTAACTTCACATCTCAAGAGTATTGGCCTTCCAACTGCACAGGACTTGAGAGAGGAGAGAATAGCTGATGGAATGATTCGGAGAAGTGGTTTGTAAGGAGATGTACAGTGGGGAGATAATTTGTGCGAGTGGCGCTTTGAGCACACATACACACACAGAGACACACACACTCAGCGCAGCACTGGCTCCCCTCCTGAGGCAATCATTACAGGGATTTGTTCTGCTTGCACTTATAGTTTTAGCAGATCAATCGGAGAAGCATGCGCTAAAACCCATTATTAGTTCTGAGGGCAACGTCTTAGTTTCGGGTGGAGAGGGGGGTGGATTGTCCGCACTGCTGCTTGTTTGAAACGTGGCTCCTTCAGAAGCATCCATGACTGTGAACAACATTCCCCGGAGATGAATGAGAAAATCAATTAGGAGGTGAGAAGCGTTTAGTGCTATCAGTACATGCGAAAACAAATTCATTTAGTGTAATGGAGGCGCCTGCCCTCGGAGATCTCTCTGCGACTCCACTATAACTGGCATATGTTTCATAACATCATAACACACTGATATGAAACACACAATGAGAAGTGACAATCACATCTGAGAGAGTGAGTCTTCATGCATATCTAAAATTAACTTATAGGCTCTATTTTGTGAACAAGTGTGAAGTATGACGATGAGTTTTAGTGTTCAGTACAATCATTAACTGCCAGTTCTTCAGGGAGACGCTTATAAATGGAAGTCATTTTTGAAAGTATTTGATTTTTATGTAAGTTTGTATTCAATGTTTTGAAGTCTAAAATACAGCATCTTGACCTAAAATATAATTTTGGGGGATTTTTTGTGTAATAAAATTGCTTACTAGCCTTTTCGGTAAAATGATGGGGCATGGATGTTGCCATGACAATATAGGGCCTAAAATTACTGTAAAATTATTTAAACAGCTTTGCAGCTCAAATAATGCTCAAGTATTAATGCCTTTAATCAAATTAGAAGATTTGAAATCTCTGAAATCTTTAAAACGTCCAATTCTCTTGCGTTTCTTACAGGAGCTATAATTTTAAATCAAATCACTTTTATTGTCACATCATCAGCAGCACGTGTGTTATGATGAGTGAAAAGCTTAGGTGCTGGCTCCAGACAGTACAAAATACAATGACAGTGCAAAATATAGACAGTGCAAAAAACAGACAGTGCAAATACAACGACAATGTGAAATTGACAGCGATATGTACAATGAATAGGTGTCCACGTAGTTGTAGGCAGTATTGTTTCAAGTATGGATTGGTTAAAGTGCAGTGCATGCTGTATATTGATGGTGTGCAGTGAGGGTATGGAAGAGTTTTAACTTACATAACTTTAACTTTAGCTAATAGTTAGTGTGATGAAAATTGTGATAAAAAGTGATATTTGAGTGAAATTTATAATGACAACCAAAACTCTTTGAATCAAGAATATAGAACATTCAATAAAACGTAGATTGTGCATAATGTAACTATATTTCTGAGCTCTTGATTGCTTGATTGATGGATTGATGAATGAAAAGCATTACAAAACCTAATAATTAGTGAATCATGGTAGCAGTTACATACTATAATATAAATACTGAAGTGACATAATGATATTTCTGTACATTTTGAATCGAATGTAAATTCTGAGTAGGCTAAATTGTCCATAGTGTATGAGTGTGTGTGGATGTTTCCCAGAGATGGGCATCCACTGCGAAAAGGGCATCCGCTGCGTAAAAAGCTTGCTGGATAAGTTGCCGTTTCATTCCGCTGTGGCGACCCCGGATTAATAAAGGGACTAAGCCGACAAGAAAATGAATGAATGAATGTCTAAGTAATATGAAACATTCATTCATTCATTCATTTATTCATTTTTTTGTCGGCTTAGTCCTTTTATTTATCCGGGGTCGCAACAGCGGAATGAACCGCCAACTTATCCAGCAAGTTTTTACACAGCGGATGCCCTTCCAGCCGCAACCCATCTCTGGGAAACATTCACACACACACTCATACACTACGGACAATTTAGCCTACCCAATTCACCTGTACCGCATGTCTTTGGACTGTGGGGGAAACCGGAGCACCCGGAGGTAACCCACGCGAAGGCAGGGAGAACATGCAAACTCCACACAGAAACGCCAACTGAGCTGAGGTTCGAACCAGCGACCTACTTGCTGTGAGGCGACAGCACTACCTACTGCGCCACTGCCTCGCCCAATATGAAACATTCACATATATTATTTGAGATGCAGTACGCATGGAACGTTTGCATAGAGAGACACTGCAGCGGTGCTAAAGATTGTGGTTTTTGTATTTGTAACTAAATTGTTAGTGGTGTCAAAAGCATTTCCCATCCTTATTTACATCCTTGTTGTTGTCCTTGCTACAGAATACTATTAACGGTGATCCTAGAAGCTATGCATGTAACTGCCAATTAAAAAAAAAAAAAAAAAACTGGTAGTGGCTCACAATCCACAGGAGTTGTTAGCTGAATCCTGCACTGAACTGGGAGAGATTCTTAAAGCTGTCCTTTGTCAAAGGCTAACTATATATGTGTGTATATATATATATATATATATATATATATATATATATATATATATATATATTTCTATGGAACGTAATTTAAATTAATTTGTAAGTTCTTTTCTCTTTGTATTGTGTCCTTTGGAAGCCCAAATACAGAAACAGAAGAAGTTATGTGTAAATAGCAGCAATTGGACAGCATTTTAGCTTTCTTATCTATAACATTAAAGCACATCTGGCCATGCACCATTACTGCCCAGGATGTGTGCGTGTGGTGAATGCGCGTATCCATTTATGATCTCATTTACCCAGATGTATTTTTTTGTAGTCCCAGATTTGTTTGCTGTAGGTTTTGCTAAGCTAACTCTGTAAAATGCAATGCCACCCTTCCATTGAACTGAGCATATTACATTCAGAGATGTTGTTTATGTCCACTATGCTACATTACACATCAGCAACAGTTTAAAATATGATTTCGTAGTGGACCACTCCTTTAAAAGTGCATAAATAAGTTCACAGCAGCAATGCTAATTGCTCACTTTCAGAATTGCAATAGAGATTTGGGATGAGATGCATACGAAACAGAAAAGATGACCAATACATTTTTGTTTTAATAATTAACAAACAGCAGAATTTTTAGAAAAGTTATGTTAAAAAACGTCACAGTGCTTTAAAACATTGGGGTTGTGTATTACTTTCTAATAATTAGTCGGCCTGGAGTAAATTAATTCTTCCACGTTTAGCCAGTTTTGACATTGTATTACTGATTTTAAACTTATGTCCACTTCACAGCTGTCCTAATATCCATTTATTTTCATGCATGCGCACCTTTTTAATGTCTGCCATGAAAACACAGCTTTCTTTGAAAGAAGTGAAAGGGCATTCGGGTGGCGATCTGCAAGTATGTGATTGTTACGTAACTCAATGTTCTGTTCATGTTCTGCGGTTTTCTGATCTCCTGGGTTAATTGAGCCAAAGTGAGTTTGTTTTATGAAGGGAAAGGCACTGAGAAAGGCCTTACATCACACAGATGACATTGTGTCCTGCCGCTGGCCTCTCTGACACTCAGGTCAGCTTATGTAAGTTTCCCTCCCGCTCTCTTTCTCTTTACGTCAGGAGTGCGCTGAGGCAGCTATTTAAGTGTGCTAAATGTAAAGCAGCCCAAAGTTATGTAAAAGAATAAAACAAACTGGTAAGCATAGCTCAAACCACTTTAAAACCTCAGAAAGAGAGAGAAAAAAAAACACATGGATAAAGCAATATGAAAAATATTCTCTAAAAAAACTTGCATCTGGTGTCTGTTCTACATCATAACGACTGGTAGCCCCACCCACTGAGAATCTCATTGGTTCAAAATTACCTACGTGTTAAATGTCAGATATGTTCTGATTGACTGTTGCTGTGAACGTCATGTTGCTATATTGATGTAACAAACTGACACAGACAGTTGTGAGAGATGTAGAGGAGTGGATTAAGAAGATTTGAAATTATGGGAAAAGCAAAACAAAGAAATAATATTTCAAATTTACCTTGTAATTTTTTTTCAGATGTAAAAATGAATCACCAGCTGATCACAGACCTGAATGAGAGAGAGAGAGAGAGAGAAAGAGGGATGTATGAGAACCTTGTCTTGGCATAGCAATTATAATTACATGCATTTATTTTGTTTACATTAATATAGACACATGTATACAGCTACGAAACAAAATAAATAAATAAGGTACCACTGTAACAATTCTGTTTTTCTGGATTTACTAAGTATGGGTTTGAGTTAAATGCTACTATTTATCTTGTTTCAAAAAGGTACTGAGAAAAAAAATATATATAAAATTATTAATATTTAGAGCATTATTAAATGACAACTGGTAAGAATCAAATAATATTTTAATTTGTTGAGTATAAATGTTGTTGTTATTCAACCAAATACAAATATAAAAGTATGATTCTTCTGAAGTTGACACTTTTGTTATGTGTGTGTATTTTTTTTAATTGCTAACATGACATGACAATAATAACATTATTTCTTTAAAGCCTCTAAATGACAACATTTTTAAATAGGAAGTTAAAAAAATAGGAAAATAGATTTTACTTCAAACACTTAGGGCTCTATCCAGTGGCATAGCGGATGTATGATCAGGAGGGCCCCCACATTTTGCGCTATGCCACTAGCCCTATCATACACCCAGGACAATAAGTAGCAATACATGATTTGTTACTATTTTCAGACCAGCGCAATCATAATTATTATGTTTTACGACACGTTGTTTAAATAGCAAAACCATTTGCGCCACTTTGTGGACTCATGAGTGTTCTGGTCTAAAAAGGAGGTGTGTTAAGGCACATTGTTGGCATGTTGATATTTTGAGAAACTTAAATAGACTGCGCCATTGACCAACTGAAAGCTTGTCTGAAGTCCAGCGCAAAGTGCATTAGTTTTGCGTCTATGCAGGTCCATGCTTATATTGCTTTTTACAGTTCATTCATGACAATTTGCATCTGAATAATGCTATTATTAGTATTATTTATTATATGCATATTCATATTTGTTTTAATAAACAAAAGTTTACATTTGTCAACCTGTCGGGTTTTGGACCATATGGGGCATAAGAATAGGACGTGTGTTTGGATACAACTCAGTTTTTTGACCACACTTAGTTATTATTGTTCATTTTTTCGTTTGCTGGAAATTAGAACTGAATTTTGAAATAAATATTTGCACTTAACAAATTAAATTCAATATGTAGGCTAATGGATGTCTTCAGTGGAATGTTTTCTTATCCCTGAAAGTAAAAGAGTAAAGTAGAGTAAAAGTAAAGAGGCCGAATGGAGAAGGCTCTTTCTTTATTCTCATGCTGCAGATTGTTTGTTTAACTGTTTTCTCGCTTATGAAGAGTTCAGTTTTTCCATTTACAAAATCTGCATGTAAATAGCAAATGCGTCATATTGTGACGCATCTGACTCTTAAAGGGAATGAGACTCTGATTAGTTTAATGCATGTTATGCACAAAACACACCCATAACTCATTTGGAAAATAAGCACAACCCTGTTAGACCATGCACCAGGGTGCTGATCGTATTTTTACATCCTTAAAATAGCAAAAGTGGATTTGTACACGCCCTTAATGCTTTTGCACCTGGGCTTCAGACTTTGCGCCTAGATTGTTAAAATAGAGCCCATAAAGTGCAAGTCAAAACACTTTATTTGTTTTCAATCAGTCAAACTTAAAATGAAAATGTCATCAATTAGAGCAGAAAAAGTCAGCATGTCAAAACAACAAAAATATGTCATGTTTTCAGAAATGATTATATTTATTTTTTAATAAACAATACCAATGTTTTAACTTCAGAAAGGTAATACATCAATTCTAGAATAACCCTGACCTTCACATCTCAACAAATATAAATATCGGTCAAACAATGTGCTAAATGACAATTGTTATTTGAAAGTTGCAAAAATTTTATCTTTACAGAACAAAAACCCAGAACATCCAGCCAAAGTGGAAATGTTTAGGTGCTCTATTTTTCTTCCATAGCAGTTTACACTCTTAAAAGGCTAGGTTATTAAAACCAAAAACTGGGTAAAATATGGACAAACACATTTGTTGGTTTATACAGTACATTAATGCAAACAATTTCCAAATTTGGAAAAATTCATTTTTAAGTCTACCATTATAACACATATTCCTGTACATCTGTGCACCAAACTTTCTAGGACACTGAACTCTAGAATAACAGCCCATGCGTACAGTAAAAACAACATAAACAGAAAAGTTAATAACAAGACAAGGCAAGACAAACAAAAGTTCCCAAATGCTAATGACGAGGTTCCACTAGTCTGTTTGAGGACTGTTTGAATGTGCAGGTAGGAGGTGGGGGGTCTGTTTCCTCTCCAAGGGCCTACAGACGCGCTCCCTTCCCACATACAGTCTCTTTTGTTCTCTGATAAATTGACACTGCCAGTTCCCCACGTTGGCAAGACATAAGGAAGAGACCGCCGGGGAAAAACAAGTAGAAGCAGCGGCGCTACATGTGATTGGTATCATTTCTGACTGACTCTCTTCATGTTTTTATCTGCACCGTCTCCACAGGCATTAATTTCAAAGCTCTGATTGGGGGTGCTAAGAGGGAAAAAAAAGTCATTGTGTTCAGTCAGCCATTAATATCATTGAATATGTTGTATCCTGCCAGATAAGTTGTCTAAATGCTCATCAGCCGTACAATTCCTAACTTTTATTTTATATATTTCTGGTTGCAAAATAAATGTTTTATGGTCAAGCAGGAACAGACAGTGCAAAGCACAAAAAGAAACTAACACATAATAATTGTAATTTTTTTTTGCCTAAACATTATTGTAATATCAGTATTTTTATTGTAGTGTTAGGCAAAGTTTGAGTAAGTCTGAAGATTTTTTTTTTTTTTTGCTGTTAAGATTATTTCCAATATTTTATACATGTTTCGTTTTGATTCATCATTTGTTCTTTCATTTACTGAATTAATCAATGATGGCATTTATTTTATTTACTTTTTTATTCAGCTCATAGCATTCATTTCATTCCAATTCAATTCAATTCAATTCAATAAACTTTACTCTTTAGACATAGGCTCACGCACAACAACAAAACATAAATAAACAAACTTACACAATTATTTAAAAAAAACAAAAGCAGTGAAAATAAATGTCTTCCTGTACTTAGACTTTTTTGCTTAAGGAACTTTAAACCCTCAACCTGATGAAAGTAACCTAAAGGAACCATGTAAAGGATGGGAAGAGTCTTCCACAACAGTGGAGGTTTTTCTTTTTGTTGCTGCTATAAATAAATAAGAGGTGTTTGTCTCTCACTAATTATTAAAAAAATAATAATAATAATAAATAAAAAAAAACTTTTTTCAAAATCAATGAAATCAGTCAATCGTTTGTTTTTTTACATTTACACATTAATTTATTTACTTTTTCCTTTCACTTACTTTTTCATTTAGTAATAATATAAATAGGAATTTATTAAAAATAATCAAGAAATGTTGCATAATAAAAATAATTGTTTTGAGGCATCACAGTGGCGCAGTGGGTAGCACGAATGCCTCACAGCAAAAAGGTCGCTTGTTCGAGCCTCGGCTGGGTCAGTTGGCATTTCTGTGTGGAGTTTGCATGTTTACTCTTGTTCGCGTGGGTTTCCTTTGGGTGCTCCAGTTTCTCCCACAAGTCCAAAGATATGTGAATTGGGTAAGTTAAATCGTCCGTAGTGTATGTGTGTGTGTGTGGATGAGTGTGTATGGATATTTCCCAGAGATGGGTTCCCACTGGAAGGGCATCCACTGCGTAAAACATTTGCTGGATAAGTTGGCGGTTCATTCTGCTGTGGCGACCCTGGATTAATAAAGGGACTAAGCCAAAACAAAAATTAATAAATGAATGAATTAATAATATTTGTTTTATTTCAATTAATAAGCATGTATTTTATTATTTTTTTGTTTGAATTTGTATTGTAGTTCACAACAATGATCCTGATCCTAAATAATAGTATTAATTTCCTTTTTGGCTCCTGTGCCACAGTTTGCAATTAAAGTGAGGAAAACAAAATCAGTCCGTGACACTTTTGCCTCAAAACCCCATTTTTCAAGCAGCGCAGGAGAAAAAGCTTCATGTGATTTTAAGAATCTCCAGCCAACAAGCAGTGAAATACGGCTCAAAGAAATCTAGTTGAAAGCTGGCAAAGTTTCTGTGCCGTTGGAATGACTACACTAATAAATGAAATAGACTCATAAATTCTTCATGGCCAGTGGCCATAAGTGAATCCATAACTGAGGAAAAATCTGTTGCGTTCACCTCTGTGTGACGAACCTCGCTTATGTAATCAGTAAAATAATTCTTCCTCGTCTCCGAACATTATGAAAGCCCGCCGTTGCAAAATATGTGACTCATTGTATTGAGGAAAACAAGCTATTATTTACTCATATGACTTTCTCTCTTACATGAACACAAAAGGTGAATATTTGATGAAACATGTCCGCTGTGTTCTTTTTAGCATTATGAAAGTGAATGGCATCAAAAACTGTCATTCAAAAAAACAAAAAAATTAATTGGATAATAGTAAAAATATGATAATAGTAAAAATATCGTCAACTAGAACTATTTAGATATCAGAGCAATCTCATTAACTGACATTTTGGCTAATTAAAATATACAGCCAGAATATAAACTGTAAAACGTGATAAGTTGCTTTACTTAAAAAAGTGAGTAAACCTGTTGTAATTTGGCAATTTTGTAAGCTGACTTAACTTTTATAATTTTTCACAATAGTTTTAAGGCAACAGGTTTACTCTCTCTCTCTTTATATATATATATATATATATATATATATATATATATATATATATATATATATATATATATATATATATACATACATACATACATACATACATACATACACATATACAGTTGATGTCAGAATTATTGACCCCCCTGAATTACTAGCGCCCCTATTTATTTATTTCCCCAATTTCTGTTTAATGGAGGGCAGATTGTTTCAGCACATTTCTAACCATAATAGTTTTAAAAACGTATTTCTAATAACTGAT